GTGGGGTCCCTGCAGAAGGGCCGAGCTGAGCCCACAAGAGGGCTTAAGTCTGCGGGTGCTGGTGGTGGGCAACCGAGTCTGGCTGGCGCGCCTGGCTGTCAGCAGCTCCTTCCTCGGCCTCCCCACTGCTCCCAGCTCTTGCTGGCTGTCCCTGTCTCCTCCTGTATGAGCTTAACATGACAGGAGTCCAGAGACCCGGGTTCAAGGTGTGCCTGGTCTCTGTTCCTAGTGGGCTTGGTACCTCTTCGGGCACTCCTGTCCTCTCGGGCCTCAGACTCACTGAAGAGAGGAAGCCCTTGGGTGCAGCTCAGGCCTTGAAGGGCGTGATGGAGCCTGGAGGCCGATCCCTTGACTTACTTAATCCTCCCCTCTTGCTCTCCTCCTGCCCCCGCCTCTGCCCACATCCAGCCTGTCAGTCCTTCCACGAGGCCCTGGGATGCCTGGACAAAGGGGCTGGTTAATTCTGAGCCCCTTCATATCTTGGCTGTCCCTCACCCTGCCCCAGCAGACCTCATGCCCTGTGTGTGGAAAGCCCAGGCCTGCGGCTGGTGACCCGCATACAAGCTGCCGCGGCAGGAGTGGTTCTGCACATCGGTCACCCCTTACGCCTGGGCGTGGACCTGGACCTCGGGCACCAGCCCAATTACCAGAGGTGACGAGAACTGGAGCCTGGTCCCGCAGAGGGAGCCAGAATCAGGATAGGAGGCTTTTTCCCCCCCCCCCCCCCAGCCACTGGTGCTCCCGGGACAGCAGGCTGTGATGGCAGGAGTGAGGGGCTCCTCCCTTGAAGAAGATGCACCATGTGACCCTTCTGGCCTCCCCACCCCATCCCACCTCCAAGAGAGCCCTCCAGCAGCTCCTAGGAAGTTCAGGAGAAAGTGGGCTTTCAGCCCTCTCCAGCCGCACCCCAGGCCCCCGGCACAAAATGCTGGGCAGGCTGGCAAGGTCCGGGGAGGCTCTCGCTAAGGGTGGGGGCCCAAAGGGAGAGGCCCGGTCTGTCTGGACAGGCCCTGGGGGAGGAGAGGAGGGAGCTCGCAGACTCCCCGCCTCCTTCACCCGGACACGGCTGATCATCTCCTCCCACGCGTCCAGCATAAGTTGGTGACAACCGCAGGGCTCACGGTCCAGGGTAGCTGGAGAGGATTAAATCGAGGAGGGAGCAGGCTCGGCCACGCCAGCACTTGACAGAATGGCAGTCACACCCCCTTTCCTGGCAGGGTTGGGCCTGGGTGAGTTTCTCCCCGTCACTCTACACACGGCAAAGTGAGGCTCAGGAGAAGTGAAATCACTCAGAAGGCCAGAGGGGCTGAGAACTTGGGCTCTGGAGCCGACTGCCTGGGTGGAATCCCAGCTCTGCCACGAGCCAGCCAGCCCCGCCGCGCTGCCTTTGGACAAGCACCTCCTGAGGCTCTGTTTCCTCATCTGGGGTAAAACTGGGGAAGTTACGTTGCCTGGGCCTGTGGGTAGAAGGCTTCATGAGTTCGCATATCTGGGGCTCAGTGTTCGTCACGTTCCTTTGCTGGCCGCTGGTGCCATCGGTGCTGTCATTTGTCGGTGCTGTGTTTTTTTTTTTTTTTTGCACCCAGGGTCATGTTACAATTCACACAGGTTCCTGCACACCCTCAGGCGACATTAGGTCGCTCTCCGGTCTCTGGGCCTCAGGGTCTCCCCATCTGGGAGACCCAAGGGGCCCCTCTCCAGTTTAACTGGCTCCCTACAGGCCTGCTTCCCCTGGGCCACCATAGGGATGGCTAACCCCAGCCGCCGGGGAGAGAGAGGGGCTGCAAGCTGGGCCGGGTGGGGGGCAGGAGAAGCCTGGCAGGAGGGGCCTCGGGCTGGACCCAGGGGTGCTGGCCCCCTGCTGGGGGTGTGGCATTCATCTCCTCCCCTGGGGTTGAGGGTGGGATGCAGGCTGGGCCCTTTCAGGTGTTCCTCCTCTCCAGCCCCCCTCCCCCCTTGGCTGAAGAAGTTTGAGCCCTGGACCACCCGGCTGGTAGCCCAGCACGTGGAGGTTCCTGCCGAGGATTGTCCTGAGTAGCTGCTGATGAACCCTGTTTCAGGCGGAGCACACAGCCGCAGAGACGTCCCATGCTGGTGTCTGGGAGGGTGCACGCTGGGCATGGTCTGGCGGTCCTTCTGCCTGCAAGAGCCTGCTGAAGGGCTCTCCGGTGGGGAGCAGGGCATCCGGGGCTCGAGACACGGGCTCCCCCCCCCTGAGGGAGGATGGGCACACCGACAGAGGGAGCCAGTTGGGGGAGTAATCATGTGGTATGTGACCTGGTGGACCTGGCTCACGCGGGCCCGGGTCTGTTCTTATTCATGGAGAAGCTTGTAGTGGTGAGCCATCGCAGGTGCTTAAAAGAATGGTATCCTAGCCGGGGTGTCTGCAGCTGTTGCAGGGGGAGGCCCTGGGGTCTTCAGATCGGGAGGAGGAGCGGCAGAGCCCGGGAGGAGGGAGCTCCTGAGGTCCGAAAGGGCGAAGATTTGGTGGTGAGGGAAGACTTCCCGAAGGAAGTTGCCCCAGGTGGGGTTTCCGGGGATGAGTTCGCTCCTCGGGCACGAGGCTATGAAGAAAAGGCACAGAGGTATGGCTGTGTGTGACGCCATGCCCCCCCACCCCGTGCCCTGACCGGGCAGGGCGGCTGTGCCCCGGAGGCCCCTGGGGAGTTGGGCCACGCAGCTCACCCGTTGCCCCGGCCTGCTCCTCTCTCCTGGGCCTGGCTTCACTGTACCGGCTCTTCAGTCCCAGCTCTCCCTCCAACCCCTCCCAGGGAACTGAAGGGTCACCTTGGCCCCGGCCCAGCCCCGAGCCCCGTGGGTGCAGTGTGTTCCTGGGGTGTCAAACCTGCCAAGGTCCTGGGAAGGCCCTGGGCTCGAGCACCTCGCCCCCTTCTCACGGGCCCCAGCTTGGCCTGGTTGCTTGGTCTGGAGCCCCGGAACCACCTCCTTTCTCCCCACCCAGGGAGTGTGACGCTTAAGCCCTGGTCTCCTGGTCTCTCCTCGTCCTCGTCCTCTGATAGCGTGTGGCCTTTTGGGAAGTCGGATGGCCTCCTGGCCAGAGGCTGTGGTCTGGATCTCCTCAACAGGTACTGCGGCTGCCTGGGGTGGTAGAGATGGGCCAGGCGGGGCTGGGTGGGGGTGGTGTCAGACCCCTGGAGCAGGGCGAGGGGGTGGGAGGGAACAGTAGCTCAGCTTTAGCCTCAGGCACCCGTAGAATATTCGGGCTTTTAGACACCTGGCATTCAAATCCTGTCACTGCTGCTTATCGTCTGGGTGACGGGCTGGTCACTTCCCCTCTCGGCGCCTCCGTGTTTCCTCATCTGTTGAAGGTGGTCAGCGATCTCTTCTGCGTGGGGGTGTTTGGGGGTTCAGGACTCGTGTCAGTAAGGCACCCTGCTTTGCTAGCTGTTAAGTAGGTGCTCAGTAAATGGTCGTCGTTACTCGTACCCCCCTCTGCTTGCCGTCCTCCCGGCGCTGAGCCCCCAGCAGGACCGAGCCTCCCTGCAAGGCTTCGCGCTGTGGGTGGGGTGGGAGCCCCGCCGCCGGGCTGGCCACAAGCCCGTGACAGGAGTCGTGAAGCAGACGGGCCCAGCATGCGTTGAGGTTCTGTCAGTGTTGGTTGACGAGTCACCTCCCCAGTCGGGCTCGCGGGTGGGTCCCAGGAGGGCGGGCGATAGATGAGTTGAGAATGTGCACTTCGAACTCCAGATAGGGAGGGCAGCTGGGCGAGTGGGGAAGAGCAGAGGGCAGAGGCTGTCCAGGGATGGCCCGGAGCGTGGCGGTGACTGGAGCCGGAGGGGGAGGGGGCCAGGGCGGGCTTCATGAGTCAGGCTGGCCGTGTGAGTCAGGCGGGAGAGTGTGGACTTCGGCTTGTGCCCGCTGGGAAACATAGCAAGATGTGGCTATGGCTAAACGCGAGGCCGGCTGCTGGCTGCCTCACAGCGTTCTCTCTGTCCTGGGAGGTGGGTGTTATGATCATATCCCTGTTTAATAGAGGAGAAAGCTGAGGCTCAGAGAGGTTGAATGACTTGCCTGAGGTCACACAGCTGGAAAGTGCCGGGGCTAAGACCCACAGTGACCTCAGCAGGTTTGCGTTTGGGGAAGGGGCCTGGGGAGCACTGAATGTCGACAGCCGCAACGCGGGGGTGCTGGATACAGAGGGCAGGTCACCCGAGAAATAGGGGCAGAGCAGGACCAGGGGCCTGAAGCAGCTTGACCAGGCCCAGGTCCAGGCCCCTGCCCCCACTCTAGCCCTCCGGCAGCGGGGCCAGCACGACATTGTTTCTCCCTGTGCAGGACGTGCTTCTAGGGGAAGGGGTGGAGGCACCTCCCTTCCTGCCTGCCTTGGCCCTTCCTCCAGCTCGGTTCAGCCTGCAGCAGGGGTCCTGGCTGCTGTCCAGGGGGCACCGGAGCAGGAGGTTCTGGCCCAGTCCCTGCCCCCCCCCATGTGATCATGGGGCCACCTCTGCAGTTCCTGGGCAGGAGGGAGCTGGAGGGAGGACACACACTGGGGCGGGGGCAGGGACGGGGGACTGAGACAGCAAGATGTGGACAGATGCCGGGGGGTGGGGGGGGGTGGTAGGGAGAGCCTGGCTGGTGCGTGGGGTGGTGCCTGCGTGCGTCCTGGGGCAGTGTCCCCGCACAGAGCACAGTGGGAAAGAACAAGACACTGGAGCCCTGTCACTTGCTACAGAGGGGCTTGGGGCAGGTCACTAAATTCCCCAGGGCCTCGGTTTCCTGCTCTGTAAAATGGGGTTGTCACGGACTTCCGGTGTTCCCCTTAGGGGGTTTTGAACAGTGCCCGGCTCAGAGTGAGCGGTAGTGTTAGCCCTTTGCTGTTTTTATCGCTGCTGTTGCTTAGGTTCCCCGAGTAGCCCGGCAAGGCTGGTGTTTTTAGCCTCATGATGCAGATGACCAGAAGGAGGCCCAGGGAGAGTCGGGAATTTGTCCCAAGGCCACTGGGCAGTGGAGTTGGGGATTCCGATGGACCTTCCTTCTGGCTAAGCTGCTTTCAGCTCCCGCTCGTGGTTCGACCTCACCGTGCGCTGGGCCTTTGCAGCGGTCTGGCCTCCCCTGCCCTTCTGGGCTCCTAGGGCCTTGGGGCAGGGCAGGGGTTGCTGGGGCGGGCTGAGGGCTGGACGGACAGACGGACAGGTGGGAGAG